GATGTGTAGAAAGGCTGGGTTGGCAAGGCCCAGGGCAAGGATCTTCACGCAGAAGCTGCCCGTGGACATCAATCCACGCCTCTATCGTCGTTGAAAGACCCAGCCTCGTTTGCTCCACCCCCAAAGCGCCTCGACTACAATGCTGGCTCTTCAGCAGCAGCAGCCAGCGCCCGCTCGCCCACTGGATTGGCATCTGCTCCCGCTACAGGGGCCAAACAGAGGCTACAGGAGAGGGAAGAGGCGCAGCGACGAGAAGAAGAAGAAGCCAGCAAGCCGGCCCCAGGACCGTATAGATCCAACACGACCGGATTGAGCACCGCCCATCTACCCAAACCCCCAGCCTTCCGACCGGGTGCTGCTTCAGCAGCGTCACCAGCACCCCCACCCAAGCCGAAGCCTAGCCTCCCTCCCCGGCTGCCTCCGCGACAGAACTCTTATCCCGACGAGTTTACGCCACCTCCTCCACCGACATATAATGAGGCCACACAGCCAGGGACACCGGCACAAGGGGTCATGAATCAGGCTGCGTTGGGTCGTCTTGGGCAGGCGGGTGTAGCCGTTACAGGCTTGGGCATTGGTCGGACGGCATCACCTCCAGTGCCACCTCGGGCGAATCCGTCTCCTCCCGTACCGTCGCGTGCGAAGCCCTCACCACCAGTACCGCCTCGGCAGAACTCTGGCCTGAGCGTCAGTTCACAGGACACATCTGCCACCAATCAAGGATCGCAGATGAGCGAGCTGCAGAGTAGGTTTGCAAGATTGTCGGGGCCAAAGTCGCCAGCAGAGCCTCCTGCGACGGGTACATCGTGGGCGGACAAGCAGGCCGCGCTGCGTACGGCAAGCAACCTGCGCAATGACCCTTCCAAGGTGTCTGCCTCTGATCTGAAAGGAGCAGCGTCGACAGCGAGCAATTTCCAACAACGACACGGCGAGCAGGTTGCATCTGGGTGGAAGTCTGCCAACTCGCTGAACCAAAAGTACGGAATCGCAGCCAAGGTTAATAATCTTGCGTCATCAAGTGCATCACCGCCGCCGCCAGCACCAGCAGTACAGTCGCCGGTAGCGAGTAGCCAGGGAGGGTTGGGAAAGAAGGCCCCTCCCCCACCACCGCCAAAGAAGAAGGATTTGAGCGGCGACGGCGGCGGTGGTGGTGGTGGTGGTGGTGGTGGTACAAATGAGCCTCCACCAATCCCGCTCAGCAGCAAGCCCAAGTTTTGAAGCTGCGATGGCAGATTGGGTCTTGTTGGATAGACGTGCATGTATATATGTAGCCGGTATGATAATGCCCGCTGTTGTTACAATGTTCCCCGCATGTGCATGTATGATTGTAGCTGTTCCCCAAGTCGCCTTGCCAGTTACGGCCCAGCGGCTCTGTTCCGCAGCTTTATTAGGCTTGGGCTCTGGACCCTCGACGTGTTCGCTACAATCCCTGCCCGAATTTTTTTGCATCTTTTTTTGTTGACCCGATCTGGATCTTGTGGCAATTGAACCGCACGGTGGGCCGGATGGGGTTTTCTGTGGTGAGGGCGAATGAAAGAGAAGCGTATATGCATTCACTCACACCCAGAAACATGGCCTGGATTTCCTAATGGCGTTAGGCTTGCGAGGCTCATGGCAGCGGCAGCAAACCCCAAGGCCAAGTCTTTGAGCCTTTTGTTGCTTGTGGCTAGGGGGGACTGGGGCCTGGGGCCTCGGCACGTCATAGCGATGTTATTCGCCCAAAAATGTTGCGTCGCCGCTAAAATCCTCACCAAAACCAAGAATCCCGTCCAGGTCCATTGCCTGCTCTTTCCAGCTTCCGGTCCGATGCACCTTTGCTAGATACGTGGTCGCCCCGAAGTCCATCTGTGCGCCTTGCTCTCGGTATATTTTGTCTTCGCTGCCCCGGATTCGTGCGCTGGAGCCGTCAATTGCGCAAACCACATTGGCCATTGCGTATGTTATGGTAATAAAAACAACACAACAAAGAACCCAACAGCCACCGTTTCACTCTCCCTCCGCTGCTACCCGGGCCTCGCACCCACGACAGCTATCCCCCCACCTCTCGAGGCCTGTCCAAGACGACGCTGCTTAGCGCAACGGCTCGGGAATTGGGCCTTACCGAACCGCACAAAACTTCCCTCGACGCTCCTTCACCACACCCGACCACCACCACCACACCCTGCGACGTCCTAGCTGAAGCATACACGCACTGAGCCATCATGTCTGGCGCAGGTCCTTCTCTACACCCCGGCGACTGGCCGTCGAGGGCTGTCTTCCAGTTCCCTCCCGACGCTGCGCCCTCACCCATCCCACCTCCGTGGACCGGCGAGGCGACATTTGCAAACCCATTCCCCATTCCCGAGGACATCTACCAAGGCGCCTTGTCCTACAAGGTCCCGCTGACCATTGCCTCTGTCTATTTTGTCACCGTCACCTACGTCAACTGGTACAACCGTCAGCATGGAAACAAGCCGTGGAGGATCGCCAAAACCCGACCCTTCTTCGCCTTCGTCATCTTCCACAACGTCTTCCTGGCCGTCTACTCGGCCATTACTTGCGTCGCCATGATCCGCTGCCTCAAGCGCTCCTTCCCCCACTACAGCGAACCCAACGCCGTTGTTGGCACCATTGACGCCCTCTGCAAGATCCACGGTCCCCGCGGACTTGGCGACGCCGTCACCTTCAACAACACCAACGACTCTTGGAGCAGCCTCAACCCAAACATTGCCTTGGCAGCCAGCGGTCTTCCCGACAGCTCTGATGTTGGCAGGATCTGGAATGAGGGGCTTGCTTTCTGGGGCTGGTGGTTCTACCTCTCCAAGTTCTACGAGGTTCTCGACACGGCCATTATCCTCGCAAAGGGCAAGCGAAGCACCACCCTCCAAAAGTACCACCACGCCGGTGCCATGCTGTCCATGTGGGCTGGTATGCGCTTCATGTCCCCGCCCATTTGGATGTTTGCTCTGGTAAACTCTGGAATCCACGCTATGATGGTAAGAATCTACCCTTTGCTCAGATTGACGACTGCTAATCCCTTATAGTACACCTACTACACCGTATCAGCCCTGGGCATTCGCGTCCCCAATGTCGTCAAGCGAACCCTTACCACGATGCAAATCACCCAATTCCTCGTCGGTTCCGCCTTCGCCGCTGTTCACCTCTTCATTTCCTACACCGTCCCCGTCTCGGTCGCATACAAGGTTGCTGAGAAGGTTGCCCAGAAGGCTGCTCCCGAAGCGGTCGCGTCTACAGTCTCTTCTGCAGTCGCCTCTGCCACTGAGTCTGTTGTCGAGGCCTTGCCCACCGTAACCGGCGTTGCCGTCGCTTTCCTCAGGAAGCTCATCTACCGCGCAGCTGGTGATGAGGGTCTTGCGGAGAACATTCCCGTCCCTGGCCACCCCGTCCCCGTCCGCCAGCAACAGCCACTACAAGAGGTGGCCGCTGCAGTGCCTACTCCTCTGCACAACGCAGTACACAACTTGCTCCACCCCCACGAGACTATCGAGAAGACCTTCTACCGCACCGAGTACCAGACTGTTCCTTGTGTCGATACTTCTGGCCAGGCTTTCGCCATCTACGTCAATCTGATCTACCTCGCCCCTCTCACCTTCCTCTTTATGCGATTCTTCTTCAAGTCCTACCTCCGCCGCTCGTCTCCCAACACCAAGCGCTCGAAGCCCCGCACCATTTCCGACGCAGCTGGCGATGCTAGCCGCAGAGTAGAGCGCGAACTCGACTCGCTGGACAAGTCAGCTGAAGATGCTATCTCCTCGGGTGTGAACATTGCTAGGGATGCTGTTCGTGGAAGACGACCAGTCAATGGCAAGGTCAAGGACGAGAGGCAAGGTAGCATGAGCCCGGCTAACCAGAAGTTCCTGGACAATGTCAGCCGCAGGGTCAGCGAGAAGCTAAATGAGCTTGACGAGGGTGCCGAGGCTTCTGCCCAAAAGGCAAAGGAAATTGCCAGGGAGGTTGTTGCCAAGGCCGAGCAGGCTGGCCACAAGGTCGACCAAGCATACGAAGACAACGAAGAGGATGTGGCTGAGAAGGCAAAGATGAACGGCAACCATCAAAACGGCCCAACGGATGCCGAAGTCGCAAAGCCCGAGTCCGAGCCCGAGCCAAAGGACATTAACAACACATTGAAGAAGGGCGATGGGCTGTTCTAGATGGACAATTGCATCACTGTCACAAGCAAATGCATCCAACTAAAAAGGGGAAGAAGTAATCTCGAGTTTAGCGGATCCCAAAGTTTGGTTGACGCCGCACTTACTGCTACCAACATTCGGCTCGGAGTTTTTTTTTCGCCATGTAGTACCGACTTTTGAGCGCTGTATTAGACCTGGTTGAGAGAGATCCAGACTTTTCTTCTTCAGGCTTAAACCTTCCCTGGCATATATTTTGCAAAGGGCGTAACGGAGAAGAAGGAGCAAAAAAAAGCGTTTTGGAGAATCATGGCGTACAACATTGTTTTTAACCTCTTTAACAAATAGGGCCGGGTTGGTTTGCTATCGGTGGAATGGGGCGAATTGTGGAGGGTTAGGCTTTTTTTTTGTATTTAAAGAGAATCAAGGTCCGTGAAAGATGGAATGGAAATAGGTCTTAGGCCCCTGTCTCTTTTTTTGTTCCAAATGATCTAAATGCAAGATTTAATTATTTTTTTACATTGGTCTCTCGGTGCTACTTGATATCACTACACTCTACACATGAAAGTCCTACTTACTTTCCTATCCTTTACACTTTTTTTTTTTTAAAAAAAAACATACGAATCAGACAGAGTACATGAAAGTTGCACTACACTACACACATACATGCACCAGCTATCGTATATCGACCGCATACCCTCCCATGCCCCCAACCCCGCCTCCCAACTCGACCCGTTCCTCCCTCTCCTTCCTCCTCCTCCTTACCTTTTCTTTCGCACCATCACTCCTCGCCGTCACCACCGCGCCATTTCCAACCTTCTTCTCCCCTGCGCCTCCTCCTCCTCCCAAACCCTCACCCTCATCATTCCTCGAAAAAACCTGTAAACCACGCAAATGCGTATCTTTTCCATTCTGATGGTTTTCCAGAATCTTGATTTGCAAGAGATGGCACCGTAGGGTTGGCATTTTGGGGGCTCGCGGGCGGCGAGGAGGGGGTTGGCGGCGTGGGAAGGAGGAGCTGGGGTGGGAGGGGGTGAGGGATGTGAAGGGGGCGCGGGGGTAGTGCAAGGAAGGGGTGGAGGTGGGGGTAGAAATGTAGATGGGTGGTTGGGAGAAGGAGGAGGTGGAGGTGGTGGGGAGCGGGGTATGGGTGATGGGGGTTTGGAGGGGGAAGGGGACGGCGTTTTCGGAGTCGGAGGAGAGATTGTGGTGGTGTTGGTGGGGGGTTTGGGTTGGGACTGGGGTTGTGGTTGCGGCGTCTGTGAGGAGATGGTGGTGGTGTCGTTGGGGGTTTGTGGTGGTGGGAGGGGGGTTGGCTTGGTCGTCATTGTCGTTGTCACCTTGGTCATCGTCGTCGCCGTCGCTGTCTACGTCGCCGACGCCGGAGAAATCGGCCCAGATCCAGCCTCGGGGGCTTTCGAGTCGCATTTCGCCCCATTCTTGGAGGTCGTTCATGCCGCTGCCGGCGAGGAAGATGATGCGTGTGGGAGTGTAGGATTCATCTTGCTCGAAGTCGAGGTAGAGGCGGAGACCGACTATGCGGACGAGCTTGAAGAAGTGGATGTTGAGGTAATGGGGCTGGGGGCCGTCGGATTGCCAGAAGAGGTTTGTGTTTGCATGCCGGAGCTGGGTTATGGAGCAGCCTGGCTTGGAAGAGGAGACGGTCCATGAGGCTAAAGTGCTGATTTCACGGAGATATGGCGGTGGTGGGTCCAGATTGGGGAGTGGGGTTGCTTGGGAGGGCGAGGCAAGTGCTTCGTCTTCAAGGTCCTCGTCGTCGTCATCCTCCTCTTCGTTTTCGTTTTCGTCTTCCTCGTGACCAGCGTGGTCTTGGTCATCCAGGCCTACTAGGTCGTCGGCCTCGGCTTCGCCCTCATCGTCGGTTATATGCCCTTGGCGACCTCCGAGGTCCATGTCATTGTCTGTGTCATCTGCCCCTGACGGCGGGGTTGAATGGTGAGGTTGGCCTCGGTGGCGACGTGAAGGCGGCATAATTGGTAGTATACAGGTGAAGTCGACGTCACAATTGGGGATAGAGAAGCAGGCAGATGCTGCACAAGCAGCAGGGTTCAGGGATTTGTGTGTGTGTGTGTGTGCATCAATTTGTTTCCGAAAAAGCAAGCCGAGGCTGCATTACCATCAATGCCGAGCGTATAGGTATGTAGAGATGCTGGTGTCGTGCGTACGCGCTGTCGTGCTCCAAACAAAGCCAGCAGGGAAGACAGATGCGGACCCACCCGCGGCTCGGGAATCTGGACCGAGCGCGCACCGTTTCTTTGTGCTTCGTATGGACTTGTGTGGTGGAGCGCGTGTCTTGAGCGTGGTGCAAAGACGACGGATTATTAGTCCATGGGTGGGTGGAGGAACCAGAGGCCCAGGCTCACGTCGGCCAGGCACACATGCACACGCCTACGACGGGCGGAGACGCGTCTTCCCGCTCCCACCCTCCCACGCCCACCATTCCCGTCGACTCCCGCCCACTTACCAATCCACACCAGCTGTCATGTTGTTGCTAACTAGTATAGTATATCCTCATCGAGATGCGCTTTAGCGCTGCCAATCACAGCCTGCGGGAACTTTTCCTCAGCCACACAATACCTGGCACGTCGATCCCTAGGTGTAGGTCTGGCCAGCTGCTGTTTCACGACAAATCAGACCACACCAAGCTTTGGGCTTGCCTCCGTCCCATGCCTGCTACTGAGTAATCTGTCGAGCCAGCAGCCAGCGTCGTCCATAGCCCCTTGACGCCATCCGGGGCTTCTGGGTAGTGGAGGTCTGATAGCTTGGGGCCGCCTAGTCGTCTTCTGAATGCATCCCTGCATAAACTATCCTCATAGTTTGCCTAATCATGTCCACGCTGCATACACTCCCCTCAACCCATGACTTTAGGAGCTTCACCAACCCTGTTGCTTCTTGCTTTTTCGCGGCACTTTGTTAATCAAAGACCTAACCCGGCACTTTCTGCACTGCCTCTTGTCCTTCTCAGTCTGGCCTGCGAACCGTTTCCTCTTCAATACGTCTCTCTCTCCCTCTCTCTTCTCTCCCCTATCTATAAGTGACATGTAGTGTTTTCAGCTATTGTTTGGGTCGCGCCAGTTCGTGTCCCGTCAATCGTCTTAGCTTCGGGCGTGCATTGTCCCGCATATTCGCCTCTTCCCTCGATACGCATCTCTTTTTCTTGCGCCCTGGCGATCAAACACCTCCGACGTGCCATCTTGTTTCTATTCAGACTGCTAGTCACAGCATCATGGTGGAGCCAGCTCCTGGAGAAGTGTCGCACCTCATGGTGCATACCTACCGGATCCTCATCGCCTTCCTCATCCTCTCATGGATCTTCATATTATTACGAGTCTACACTCGCACTGTCATCATTTCCAACTTCGGCTGGGACGATACTGCCATGGTATCGGTAGGAGTAGGTACTGCCCCCGATTCACTCATTCTCTGTCCTAACATGGGCAGGCGATATTCACTGTATACTGTGGAACAATCATTTACATCTTCCACCATGGTGGCGGTACCGTTATAGCCGACTTTGATCAATTGAACCACCTGATGAAGGTACTCGCACTCCGCCACCCTTCTACCTCTGCCTAGCTGACCATTATAGATTGCAACTATTTCTGAATCCTCCTACGTCTTGACCATGATGCTCATCAAGATATCCCTTGCCATCTTCTTCGCCCGCATCGTAGTCAAGCGATGGCATTTGACCGTCATATATGTCTTCGTCACCCTCAGCGTCATATCATCAATCGCCACCTATCTCTACATCTTCCTTCGGTGTGGCCCCGACCTGGATCAGTATCTCATCCGGGAACTGATTCGAGACTGTACGCCTATTCAACTCGACATATTCATGGCCTACCAGCAAGGTACGACGAGCACCAACCGGCTCATGGCCTGTAAGAAGCTAATGTTGGTGGTTTTTTTTTTAGCTGTATTCAATTCCCTCACCGATCTTGCCTTCCTTTTCATGCCGGTCCTGGTGCTTTGGAATTCCCCAATGGAGCGACGGGCCAAAATTTCAGTCGGCGTCATCTTAGTAGTAGCCACACTGTATGATCCTATAAGATTATATCCCAACTTAGTGCTAACGTTTGACAGCGGCGCGGTATGCTCACTCATACGATTCAAATACATCAAGGGCGTACTCAAAAATGGCGACTACTTCTACCAAGCCGTCCACATCTGTATGTGGAGTACCATCGAAGCGGGAACCTGTATCATTGCCGGATGCACAGCCACACTAAGACCGCTGATGAAGATTGCCTTGATTCAAGTACAAGTAACGCTTCCCCTTTCGCGACTTGGTTCTGGAGCACCGCCTACATCCACCACTCTGAAGAGCAGTCAGCAATCAAATCATCGCTCGTCCCGTATGATACGCATTCCATACAACGACCTAGAGTACGGGATCTCTGACCCCACGGGATCAACCTCACTGCTCCCCAAAATACCCGAGTTTGTTGAGCTGGTAATACGCCCGGACCCTGTCATCCTTGCGCCTGTTGAGGACGATACACGCCCAAGGCCGGGTTCCATGTTCGGATGATTCGAACCGAGACTTCGAGACTTGTTGCTATTGCGCGACCGGCTCGAATAAAGCTTTGCTAGGCCAACAGACTGAACGGATACAGGCGCATCCATCCACCTTCCCCGGAGCCTCATGAAGATTGGGGTGAAGCTAGGCTCCCCCACAATGCCGCATTAGGCAACGTCCAGACAATTAGCTTTGGCGATCAGTACGCCCAGTGCATATGGTTTACTACCCCGCGGATTTTCCGACACGTGCATGCGAGACACTCTTCGCACCACGCTTGCATTGTGCGACTTGACGGCTTGCGGTCCGGATATTGACAGGCTGCCGTTATACTATCCTGCAACACCGCTATTCGCAGGCACTACACTACGTACATACATATAGGCAACGGCCTCGAAGGTGCCTGACGTCAGGGATACCAAGATCGATGTGTTTCACTCTTTCAGCCTCAGGGCTCGGTCTTGCTTGGCTCCTTGGTCACGGACGAATACATACGGAACCATCAATAAAACAGACATATACTCATCCTCAGAGAAAGGAAGAACCAATTGGATAAACATTGGCTGCCCTCAAAGTCTACCACCACGCCATCTCCCTCGATGCCCCGCCTTGGTGTGTCACGGCAAGCGGTTGCCGTCGCCCCGTGCCGAGTAAAAACAAGGTCCTGCTGCAGAAAAGAGCAAACTATATTTACAAAATGCTGCACATTGCGTCCCCATTCCCCCAGTCAACCTTGTTTTACGTTACCCTAAAACCAGGGTTTTGGCGTGTACCGCGCGGCTATCTGTTTCCGAGTTTTATCGGACATGGCGAATTTCACTTTATTAGAGTTTTCGCCACCCGCTCCCCCCGAAGTTGAGACTGGGGAAAGGGAGCATGTAATCAAAAAAGACTGAGTCATGTATATATAACGATGTTTATGATTGAGGAACCCTTTTTTCTTTCGTTTTTGTTTTCTAATGTATGATGATGAATGTGGGGTGCGATATAGGGAGGAAAGTTCAGGGCCTGCATTAGGGGCGTTGTTTAGTAGTTTAGTCTCTGCATAATCATTTCGTGTGTATGTATAAATAATATGAATACGATGAAGCACAAACGTATATCACATCTCGTCACGTCGCATCTTCGCGCCTAATATATCTTGGTTTTTTTTTTATTTGTTTCCCAAGTACCCGCGTCTTGCGCATCTGATTTACTCACGCTCCACATACGTATACTTGCGCTATCCCCCTTCTCCTTTCGTCTCCCTCCCTTCCCCCCCACGATATCCCTACCCTGTATAGCATCCAGCCCCCTCTATTTCGCGTTCAGCCCAACGCCTCAATAAAAACAAACACCCCGTCCACACCCGGCTTCTATCAGTCCGCTTAACTAGTACTCGGGGATCGCCCGGGAATCTCCATATTTCCACGATCCTGACTATCAGAAATTCCCGTTTCCAATCACTCACGAGGTGCAAAAGTGGGTTAAATCGCGTATTGGTTTCCTGTGGTCAGAGCGGTGGGAGAGGAAGATCCTCTTCCCGGCGCACGTGTTGTTCACGCATACGTGCGGACAAGTGCAGGGGGGGGGGAGGGAAGCGAAAGGGAAAGATAAAGCACAAAGGGTCGGTAGCACATACATACAAACATACATATATACATACATATTTATGTCGAGTAGTAGTGATAGTAGTGACGTAACTTGTATTTTTCTTTTCTTTTTCCCCCCACGTATACATGCATATGGGATTTAAGCTTATTTATCTCAATATGATTGCTTGGGCCGTAGGGTTCCGGTGTTTGGCTTGGCGATCTTTTGCATCGTGAGCGGTGAGCACGAGGTTGGTAGTTAAGGTTAGGAAAGGGAATTGGGGGGAGGTAAGTTTATTGACATCTACTATCGAATGGGGGAAATGGGGAGGAGGCGGAATTAAGGGATTGGTGGGATGGGGGAGGGTGAGAACTTTTGGTTATCTTTTGGATGATGTGGTTTGTGCATGTCTTTGTAGACCGACAGAAACTACAAAGGGGATTTTCCTATGCGCATGAGACATCTGAGAAGCTTCGTGATGATCTGAATTCGGGTCTAACGCTAAGGCGCCAGTTTTTTTTTACTTACATAACTCTACGTCTTCTTCTCTTACTTACTACGCATTCGCTGTGTATAGTGTATCCTAGTTTTCAATTTCAAATTCCCTTAGCCTGCCTGTGGTATTCTTTACATGTCTCAGCCTGCCGAACGAAAATATATTCTTAGATAAAATTTACAAGTGTACCAAACTTCATTGTGGAGAAAGGACTTTGTCCATAGGCACTCTCGACTGACACTAATCTTTTCCTCCTTATCCTATTTCGTCATTTGGGTTCTAGGCTGCATAACAGGTCTCGCCAGACAAAACCGTAACAGAGCCACACCTTATCGTTGGTGGACATGCGGATATACGGCACTGCGAAATGCAGATCACCGTGTCTTTTAACGTCAGGCAGCAGGCGCAAGCCCAAGATAGTCTATTATTTTTTGGCATACATTATTCCCGCTACTAATACCAAGATGCCTGTGCAAAGCCTCGGGGACGTAAGTAAGGATATCGTCTTGCGGGTGACTAATATTAAGCTTTAGATCGACCTGTTATATGACGTCTTCTATACACCATCAATATCAAGCCCAGGGGTACATCTTCCCAGCTTTCTAGGGAAAGACGTTGGGCCTTAGTATGCGAATCAATCATGACATCATCTAAGCCTTGCTCATAAAATGAACATATGAAGATGAAAAATGACTTTTACCCTGGTTTGGCTGAATTTTCGCTATATACTTCAGGATAGGGCTCACCTGGAAATATAAACACGAGAAACGTTATAGTAAAAAGAGAAAGACACTAGTAAGCCAACAGCTATTACTACAATTTCTTCAGACATACAAAAAGCATGGACATGTCAACGGAACAAAAAGAACCGAAGCCCAAGGGGCTCGAACCCTCAACCTTTGGTGGACAGGCAGACAAGGCCGAAAACCAACGCGCTACCATTGCGCCAAGGCTCCGATAGATGATTTGATGGAGATTCGTTAATTTGTAAAATGAATATCTGCAATTATTTTTAGAAATCGCATCGTAGCAATATGTTGCTCGACCCTTGGGTGATCATCATATGAATCTGCTCGAATGTGGGGTAGAAGCTTGGCCGAGCCCCTCCGCATGCGTCTCCACTCCATAGAAACCTGTCGCTATTGGCAGCACGGTAGCCATCATATTATCCTAGTTCAGCAGCGCAGGTAAGATATAGGCTCTTGAGGGAAAAGGGACGTATACCCCAAAAGCATGCGATGAACTACAAGCATTGTAATTGAGTGTGTATTTCACGAACAAATCTAATGGCAGTATTTTCAGAATACAAGTCATGCTACATGAAAATAATCAAAAGCTATCAAATTTCTATTTCATACGCCAGACCATGCTATCGCTAATCGACAAGACAATTGCTATACACGCCAAGTAGTCTCCAAGTCACAACAGCTGTTCAATCTCAATTTCGGGGCTTCCTCCATAGCTCCTCTGCATCGAGTTGCCGAGGTGACTTCACGCCATTGTTTGGCTGTGAAGCAGAGTACTCGATGCCACAAGATCCGCGGTCCAGAGCAAGAGTATTCAAATCCCAATGTAGTTGCTCCTCCGGGTCTGTAGCTAAACTCGTCCGGGTTCGGTTCTGAACCTGAAGCGGTGCAGGGTCAGCTGTCGAGGTATTGGACGTCATTAGGGATAATGATAGAGAATCGAGCTCATTGGCAAATTCCATTTCCTCTTTACTGGCCTCCATGGCAGAGCAGATGTTACTTGGGCGCGTCTTGGCTTTGAGTTCCATCTCGTAGACTCGCTGGTCGCGAGAGAAGTCTGCCTCCAACTGCCGATGTTCGGCATACCATTGATCGTACTGCTCCTGTGACATCTGCTCGATTGATGGGTACAAGGCGTTGTGCTGCGCTTGTCGCTCCTCCCAAATCTTGGTAGCTTCTGCTTGGATGCACTCGTGGCAGATGAAGGCAGCCTCTACAGTGTTTCCGTAAGGTTCGACGCAGTTTGCACCGCAGTCTTCGACTAAATCTGTCCGGATGCGATGCGAACACAAGAGCTGATGGTAGAGACGGCCTTGACAGGGTGCAAATCGTTTTGACCGTACATTATTGAATGTCGAGGCTGATGAGGAAGGTTGTGTGGAGGTGGCAAAGGGTGAGTTTGCGCCACCGCTCTCTGCACTTGGCGAACTGGTCCACCCCCATCTACACGCCATGACGAGGTTTGCATGAGACATGACATCGTCTGAGACTTTGGAAGTTGGGGCAGACCGAAAAGCGCTACTTGAGAAATCCATAGTGGGGACAGCTAAAGTCCAAGTTTGAGTTGAGGGTTGTTGATATGGCAGTGCGTCAGCCGACGACGCGCGGTTGCCTTTGAAATGTCCAAATAAGCGATAGGGACCAAAAGCCAGCAGCAGTATCTGCTACTGAGAAGACGGCAGATGAATGAGTGGTCAAGGGTGTGGTGAGACAATTGACGTAGTAATTCGTATGGTCTTGTGAAAGCGCATCGTGTGTGCACAGGGCACTTGCAGTCGTGTACAACCCACGCTAACTACACCTATCGCAAAGGGCTTGGTCGGTTGTTATCGCAATAGCTGTTGGGCGGCCAAAAGTGCATGTTACAATCGAGGCGGGCCGATAGCGATGTTAGAACGAAAGCGCGAATAGAAGCCCGATGAATGATGCGCTGCTGGGATGGAGGGTTGTGGACGAGTGAGAGGTGATGAGTCGCGACGCGCTGGGCCACACTCGTGATGGCGCTAAGCTTTGCCCGGGCCGATGACGCTATAGAAGCTTCGAGTTTCGCTGTTGTCACCACCCACTCAGACTGGACAAGCCTTGCATGCAACCAGACCACGACAAAGTATGCAATATGAATTGCAAGAACACTGACTTGTGGGAATCCGAGAGGATAATAACCTTCACCATCATGCGACTCGTGATCCGGCGGGGACAAGGTCAGGAGGTGGCAAAAAAAGCAACATGAGGACATAATTCACTTGACGCATATTACTAACTCTATCTCATGTGCCCCTGCTGTCCTTCAAACTGTTGATATCGTCATTCTAGACCAGGAATCTGAATCCACGCTCTTGCCCAGCACGTGGGACGCTGTTGATTGCGCCCTCAACATGTTCTCCTCGGTCAAGCCTTTTGTTGAGTCGTACGAGAATGATGCGCATAACGCCCGCCATGATAATCGCCAACGCAGCCGTCGCACAATCTACACTCAAGGGTACGGTCAATTTTGGCTGCCCCTTCTTTGGCTGTGGATACATGTAACTAGCATAAATCGAGCTCGAGTTGCTGACGGCGTTGATGAATGCTAGCGCCGCCGCTCTCTTAGCAGGAGGGCGCGGCAACGAGTTGGAAATCCAGGCCAATGCAACGACGTAGCCCGTATACACACCCGGTACCATAAGCATCATGGCAACGTATCGAGGTGCTGTTGTGTGAGTAGCAGCTGCCAGGATAAAGGCGAATACGCCAACACAGAGTGGGAGTACGATGTGGAGGAAGCGTTCGCCTGTACGGTCTGCATGCCAAGCATTGCAATAAGTTGTAATGACCGCAAGGAGATAAGGCGGTGCTGTAAGTAACAGTGTTTCGGTATTCGAGTATCCGAGGGTCTTCACCACAGTTGGGAAGAAGTTCGTTACCGATGCTGACGAGACAATAGAGAGGAGCATGACGGTGAAGACCCAGGTCTTGATATCGACCAAAGCAAGTTTGAGGCCCTGGAAAAACGTCTGTGCCTCTGAAGATATCCAATCTTCTTCGCCGATGTCTTCTTCTAGCCGAAAGACAGCAAGCTGACGTTCTTCATCGGTCAGCCACGACGTTGTGAGCGGGAAGTTTGGCAGTATCCAGAACGCCAAAAGGGCAATGCCAACCGTGATACCGCCCTGCAACAATTAGCATTTTTCAAACCACTCTCTCGCTAGAATTACCTCGATGATAAACACCCAGCGCCACGCTCGCAATCCATGCGTCCCATCCATGTTTTCTTTGATGCCCGCTGTGATCAGCCCACCGAAGGCGCCTGATATCAGAGACCCAGAGTACAACACTGCAGTTCTGAACCCAAGCTCTTTCCTTGTGTACCATGTGCTGAGATAAAACAGGCAGCCGGGGAAGCTAAAAGATATTAAGAACTAATTTGAAACATATTCAAGTAACACTCCTGTCATAATCAGCTGGTAGTCCTTGTGCCGAATTTGCTCTTGGAAACCTTACACTAAGCTGCCTCGACTACTCCGAGAAAGAAACGGCACGCAATAAGGCCGCCAAAGTTTTGACATCCAGCTGTAGCTCCAGAGATAATACCCCAGACAACCATACAAGCCGGTAGGTAGAGTGCAGGTTTTCCGAACTTGTTAAGGAATAGGTTAGAGGGGACTTGCATGAGGATGTATCCGACAAAAAGGATGGAGATGATGGTCTGGACACGGTAAGTATACTCTCCGTAGCTTTGAACGCAATTGCAAGGTGCAGTCGTACCTGATACTGTACACTAGATAGGTTTAATTCTTCTTGGAGACCGGCCAGACGTACAGCAGCGATGTTGTTTCTATCAAGATAGTCTGGTAGGATTAGTCACCGTCTTAATTATTACATCGCCTTGCGACTTCGTGTCAATTCCACTTACTCATGATGTACATCAGAATAGCCATGGGCATCAACCTTGTATCGATTTTCCTCCTCAACCGCTTTTCGGCTAGCTCTCGCTCCTCGGGATTCATAGCAGCCACCAGCGGCGGCGGCTGTAATTTCGGCCTCGAATCATCTTTGTTGGAACCTGCTTCAAGCATTGTAGGCTCGAGTCGGTCTTCTGAGATTTTCGCTACATGAACCTCCTTATCGTAATCCGGGGTTGCATCTGTTTTTGTCATATCTGCTCAACCAGCGAGCGTGTTCTCCAACTGTCCTTCTTTGTGTACTAGTAAAGTGGAGGTGCGACGCCACCAATTCAATGGGAAAATCTGGTGGTTGAACAAGCAAAGAGCGGAAGACAAGATATACCAAGCAAAATTGCGCGGCCCTCAAGCTTACTTATGCAGAGCTTACCTGGACGGCGAAGTAAGGTATTAATGGCGGGGATAGCTGCAACCCCATGCTCAATCTCATCTCTCCGCACCGGGGTAATCGCCCGGGCGCGCGCGTCGTGTCACGATGAGCCTTTGCCGTGCATGCATACAGGAATGACGGCCCGCCGCTGGACCAAGCGATTCAACAGCGTCCAGCGCAGACAATGATTGGCGCGACAACTATGACGATGCAACAGTATCATGTGGCGTGGGCGATGGTTACACAAGACGGGTTAGCATAGTTTATTAACCGGCTGGGGCACCTTGTTCCGTAGGAATCCGTTTTCCAGCGTATTATCATCTTTTACCAAGTTACCGATTCCGTAGTGCAAGAGGACATGGCGCATATCTTCTGCGCACCTGATACCCCTGCGATGCTAGAAATCAATGTTAACGAGAGCCGCTCCTCTGTGTACCAGGGCAACTAGCGTATTGAGTGACATGTTTGCCAATCCAGCTGTCTTTTCTCTGCTCATTTTTGGAGCTCTGAGAGAAGGGCGAGTTCAAGGACATGAACAGCACCATGTAGCATCTCGTCCACGAAATTCGAAATCCTTAGCCTTGGCGAAGCACTGCTGCGCAGGGATCATGTTGACTGTAGTTGACATTCAAGCGCCGAACCCATACAGTCCGCTCATATCAGCATCACACGTGTTACCCTCAGCATAAGCAGTGTATCAGAAGCGCGGCATACTTTGGTCAGCTAAAACCAGCACGGTACTTTACCATCCTCACTTGAGCTTCCAACTTCCACTAACGCCGTGCCACTCTGTTTCATTGGCCCTCGACTGCTTGAAGATCAAAGTAGTCAGTGTAGTCACGGTGCAATCCAAGCAATGTAATCACTGGAAGCACAATTTACATCAAGCACATGAAGTGCGCGTTGTGCGTTCTTGGGGGAGGCGGTAAAACCGTCGAATAAGTATATGCTCTTGGCTGTCAGAACCTAGCCTCCTCTGACCCCTTCCGGACCTCTTTGGTGCCCACCGGCCCATCCCATCTCCTCTTAGTCATATCTGACTTAGCACTGTGTATATAAACCTAACGATAACTATCCTATATTAATAGATGTTCGTCTATAGTGAATACAGCCCGCTAAACTATCTTTGCTGTTATAGGTATTTACTCGCGCCACCAGCCCTTTAATATCTAACATTTACTAGCTCATCTTCTAAGCTTACATTCTAGCCCGTATTCGGGCTTATCTTATAGTTCATTTTCTAGTTCATTTTTTAACTCTTTTACTCACTAGTGAAACAAGAAGATATTATATAAGATATCTCGTAGATCGAAACAAAATTTATCAGTCGTAGTAAATTACGATAAACTCTTAAGAATTTATCTTAGATTTATATAGAATTAATTACTCTATAGTTATATATAATTATAGCTATATTACTTCTAAAAGATATCTAATATATCTCTTAGAGTTAGTATCTAGTTTTGAGTATCTTGATATATTGTGGTGTCTTTTATGGAAAAAGGGGTTTAAAAGTTCTTGCCAACAAGGGTTCTTAGATACCAACGAAATTCGACTGACCTATAGAAAGTTTCGGGGGCTGAATATCCGACTGCGGGGTGTTGTTTAACCGAAAGTTTGGATATCCCGGATCGCGGGACGACATGAACTGGGACGACAAGGTGTCTCCGAAGCCTCCGTGACCCCTCATCAGATCTCACTTCGCTGGGCCATTGTAAACGATTGGTTTTATTTTATTTTATTTTCGGTTTAGCCTCCGAACCGGGACGAAGTTCTAGATCTTCCCTTGAAATGCGCAGTGCAGGGCAAGATTGAAAAGAAGCTTCTTGGACTCTATGCTTCTTTCCGTGCGTCGTACAGATAGGGCTGATATGCTTCATGAACCCGTGGAAATAGAAATATCGGCTCCTCCCGGGTATTCAAGTTGGGATTCTTACAGTTTGAAGCGTATTTTGAGGATGCGGCCAAATTGAAGGAGGTGGCTTTAACCATGTGACCACAGACGAGCTCGTGAACTGGCGTCCCTTCACAGTGCTAGATTCGCTTTTCGATGAAAGTGATAGATATATTGGAGTTTTAAGTCGAGGGTGAAAGGTCAGATTTAATACGAAGACTGGGCTGCCCACTTTTGCGAGTAAGTGCTATACTAGAGATTGAGTAATTATAACCTAGCTGTTACATTGATACAAATCGTGAAAGTTATGCTACACTCGGTTCACATGAAGACGATGCCAGATAACGACCTTCTCATAACATCTTTCACAAACATACCCGCTACTTTTACATTGGTGGCGGATTTAGGTCAAGACCCTCGACGCTAAGTTTGAAGCTATCCATGCGCGAGTAGCTTCCCCCAGAGTCAAAGTCAAGTCTTCCTCGTTCACAATCCTCAAAGTCAACTTCTGTAACAATGAGGTCATCTTCCTTTTCCCAAATTGGTCCAGCTAGCACCTCACCAAGAGGCGATACGATCATCGAGCCGCCACGAGAGACGAACTCCTCACCGTCTGCGGACCATGACCGGGGTTGCGAGAACGGCTGCAGTTTGATGCTGGAAGTTTCTTCGATGGAGTCGATAGCTGATGAGTCGCCGTTGGTCGTTGCATCTTGTCCCTTGGGTAATGGCAAGCAGATCTCATGGCCGTCTTCTGTCCTCGTAATGGTACTTCGCCGGCGCGCAGCACAGCCACTCTGTTGCAATATTGTTCTACCGACTCCACTGCTGCTTGCGATGCTCGGTGAGCGGGCTGTTTCATTCTTCATCCCGCCTGTTATCCATTCAGGAAGATGCTTCTTCTTGACGCACTGATTTGCACTAAGAACAAAGCAACGTCCCTCGCACCCAACGGTCCGCATCAGTGCAGCCCAAGTATCGCGTGCATCTGCTGTCGGCGCAAACCAAAGATTGACATTTTGGCTGTACAGACTCTGCCTCAGCAATGGCATGTAGTTTTCCCAGCAAATTGCCGAACCCATGCACAACTTCACGCCCTTGATCTCCGTCGTCACTGCCCTCAACGTACTCGCACTGCCCATTCCCCATACCAAGCGTTCACTGCCTGTCGGCATCACCTTCCGCCTTTTACCCAAAACCCCTCTCTTTGGGTCTACGAAAACGGATCCACAATACAGTGTTCCTCCAGATTTCTCTACCAGTCCTGTCACGATGAATACACCCGTTTCCTTGGCGATCCTCTCCAGCTCTTCTCTGGTGCCATCCCCTCTATACTCCTTTCCCTTTGGCAACTCGAGCTTTCGGTCAATCCAGTCTTCACCCGCACCACTTGGAGTGTCTCCTAGATCGACAGAATCGTGAAAATAATGCAAGAATTGCTCGCGACCTTCGGGCGCGCGTGCGCCGACCGCAGCACCGAAAGAGCAAGTGCGAGGGTATCCGCCCAAGTACGCTTCTGGGAACAAAAGTATGTCTATTCCCTGAGATGCAGCGCGCTTGGTAGTAGTTTCAAGGGCTGAGAGTGTTTCGGCAGTTGTAGAGAGGGTACGGGATTGCGCGGCGGCAATCTTGAGTATTTGCGGCATCGTGTTTCCAGATTGGAGCGAAGCGAGAGTATAATTAAAGGTGGTCCGACGATTTGGTTAGACCTCAGACAACAAGATCCAAAGAATCATTTATATAATATTGAGCCTGTGACGCATAATGGCATAATCGGGGAAAAAATATGTTCGTACGACTACCCCGCGCCTCGGACAGCAACGGTAGGCCACGGCATCTTGGCCAACGTCGTATGCATTGGCTGGTCTGAAGCTAGTCAAGTCAGGAATTTCTGTTTAGTACTGTAGGAACTCAAGTCGCAGATATACGGAAATGCACAAAAGGGCATGGACTGAGCAGGGATGCAGTGGAGCTACTCGGCCTGCAGACTTCAACTCCACTACGACGTCACAGCATGGATACGATAGCACTAGCCGGAGAATTTCTTACTTTCCACGACCATTCTACATGTGACGCATCAACGATATCTCGATAACATCCAATTCAACAACACACCTGGTCCAAACACAAAAATTCAAACTAATCCGGAGCACAAAATACCCGCCATGGCATCCGGCACTGACCTCGCGGCTCACCTCCAAAACCTTATCCCAGACTCGCACGCTCAACTTCGCGACTCTGTCCTACCATCCCTCTTAAAGTCAGTGCACACAATAGCCGGCCATCTACGCACATCACCCAGCGTAACCCAAGTCGGCACCGCTAACGCATTCGGCGACGATCAACTCAACGTCGACGTCCTCGCCGAGGACGCCATCCGCCAAACCATCAAAGCCTGTCCTAGCATAGTCACCGCCAGCAGCGAAGAAGACCCAATCGAAAGATCTTCCTCAGAAAACCCCAGTACTACAGGAAGTACAGAGCAATACACACTAGCCTTTGACCCCCTCGACGGCTCCTCCATCATCGCCCCAAACTGGAGCGTAGGCACTATCCTCGGCATCTGGTCTGGCGCCTCAGCCCTGCACTCCCCCCCATCCACACATCAAATTGCCGCAATCCTCGGTGTGCTTGGTCCCCGCACTACCGCCATCGTTGCCCTGCGCCTCCCCAACTCCCCATCTGCCTGCTTCGAAGTCGGATACTCATCCTCTGGCTCCATCCAAGTAATCCGTGCAAACGTCCAGCTGGCGTCTCCCTCCGATGTGAAGACGCGATACTTCGCCCCCGCCAACCTGCGCGCCGCAGCTGAAGATGCAAAGTACATGAGCCTGATCACGCATTTCATCCAGCAAAAATACACACTACGCTACAGCGGCGGCCTCGTCCCTGATGTCGTACACGCCTTGGTCAAGGGCCACGGCATCTACATCTCCCCCGTCACCCCGCAAAGCAAAGCCAAACTCCGCCGCTTATACGAACTCGCCCCCATAGCCCTAATCATCGAATGCGCAGGGGGTGCAGCACTGGACTCCGCAACAGGGACCCGCATACTCGACGTCGAAGTGCGTGATACCGACGAGAGGGGGGGTCTGGTATGCGGGAATACTACAGATGTCGAGTCGGCACGGAAAGCTTTACTACTACTACCATCATAAATCCCGTACCCCACAGTTTTAAATCTAGTCTAGTCTAGTATAGTCTTATCTTACTCTCAATCAACTAATAAGCTATCGAGTCACAATACTTTCGCGCCCCTTCCCATTGCTACTTACATACCTGCCGTAGATCACCACCCCTCCTCCTCCTCTCACTAGCAACCACTAGAAACCACAGCCACGTGCACTCTCGCCTCGGCGATCTCCCCCCCTCCACGTGGCTCATCGGCCCTTTTTTTTTGCACCGGAACGATGATGATCGCGGACTACGAGACTCACGGACGGGAGAAGGAAAAAAATTTACAAACCCCGCGTTAGTGAGGAGGAGGGGGAGGGATCGGCGGGGGATCGTAATATGAAGGTGGGTGGTATGGAGAGATCGGGGGGGGGGGCTAAGGGAGAGGGGGAGGGTGACAGATGAC